CGCTGGCCACACTGAGAAACTCGTCTTCGCTGGGCAGTGATGCCTACTGGGGGGCCAGGGGTTCCACGTGTCGGCCCTGGTTTTAATCTCCCCACCAGAGCCGTCGGCGGCGGGGAAGAGTGAGCTGGCGGCGGCCGCCACACGTCCCGGCGGGGCGTCAGGACGCCGCCGCCTCCGGCTCCCGCGCCCACTCGGCAAGCAGCTGCCGCTGCTGGCACGTGTCTTCAGCAGAAACTGCAAGAAGCCCCAAGCCCGGGACAAACATGCACCCCACCCCCGCGTCAGACACACGGCCTGCTCTGCTCCAAGTTACAAGGCACAACAGACCCTATATAGACCCATGGGCGGCCCTAATGGACTCCAGACTCTGGGCGCCCGCTTCACCTTCTTGCAGCTCCTGGGATAGCAACAACACCGAAAGATAATAAAGGCTGTACCTGAGAAAACCATGACTAAAATCACACGTGGTGAAGACGTCCGGAGAGTCCTGAGGTCCAGAACAAAACGAGGATGCCCACGCTTGCCTCTGTGTTTAACGCACTACTAGAAGTAATGTTCAGAACACTCAGGAAAGGGGAAGAAATAAAAAGCATTCAGGTTGGAAAGAAAGAAGCAAAACTGTCAGTGTAAGCAGATGACATATCACACATGGAGAACCCTAAGAAGCACCCAAACCTTAAGACACAGTCAGGGAACACGATGAAGCTGCGGTTCATAGGACCCATGCTCAAAAGTCTGTGTGTTACTCTATGCAAACAAAGGAATAACAGAAATGAGGAAGCGAAGCCGCTCACAGTCACGGCAAGGAGTGTAAGGTACTCAAGAATAACCTTGACCCAAGAAGTGAAGAGGCTTTACACCGAGACACTTCCAACCGTTGGAAGGTGTTGGAGCGGGAGACGTGGGTCACCCTGTGCTCGTGGCGGGCTGCGTGAGGACCGCCGTGAGTCACTCCACCTAACGCAGAGCGAGGGCCGCGCCATCTTGTGGAGACCCCAGTGGCATTCTTCACAGAACAGAAGGGAAACTCTGCAACTTCGGTGGGATCACAAAACACCCTGAGTGGCTGAATAATCCCGACCTAAGCCAAACCAAACAACAGCGAAGTGTCCTGACCCCTGACGGCAGACTACACTAGAAACTGCGGCCACCACGGCAGTGTGTGACTGGCGCAGATGCGGGCGCAGCGGCCAAGGACAGACTCAAAGGCCCCAAAGGGAAGCCACGCGCGTGGGCCGCTCCCTGCGGGCTGCTCCCGAGCGCGACGCGTGGGCCGGGTCTGCTGCGAGCTGCAGCCGAGGTGAGAGCCACCTCTGGTACCGGCGACCAACACCCACGCAGGGGAGCCGCACGTGGCTACGCCCTGACGCTGCCAAACAGGCCAAGGAAACGAGTCAAGGCCCCACTGCCCCCAGCGCTGTGTGGCTCACGTCCGCCAGCGGGCAGGGCACGGGGCATGCGAACAGCCGGCACGCAGCAGCCCAGCCCGAAGCAGCGTCGCGAGGAGGCGCCGTCTGCCGTGGGGAGGACTCGGCAAGCCGCCTGCCGGCGGGTGAGCGCTGACGCGTAAGCAAGCCGTAGAGCTCAACGGCAAAACGCGGAAGGCACTTTAAAAACGCGCGGAGGCTGCAAACAGACGGCCCTCGGAGGCAGGCCCCGCGGGCAGCTGGAGTGCCGGGTGCCCCTCTCGGCTGCGCGGGGCGGAGCACGTGGCCCTCCACAGCCGCTTAGAATGGCCAGTCGCAGCCCGGAGCGGAAGCGCCGCGCGGAACTGCAGAGGCAGGAGCCCTCGCGGTGGCTGCTGGGGCTGGGGACGCGTCAGCGGGCACGCACCGCGCTGCAGGGTGCCGCAAGGGGCCACAGGACCCGCCAGGTGCCCCGCAACCCCCTTCCGGGCTTTCACCTGCAGGGTCTGGAGACGCTAACCGACGGCGAGCCGCGCCCAGCGCGCCGCGGTGCCCACACGGCGGGTCCAGACGCCCTTCTCCCTCGGAGCGGGCGCTCTGCGTGGGCTGGACGCCTGGGGCCGTGCCACGGGGGCAGGGGCCTGTTATTATTCGGGTCACGTCACTCACTGTGGAGCACGAGGGAAACAGCGCCCCGGACGTTGACAGTAGGTGGGGAGCGGGGTCGGGGCTGGGGGCCGCTGGCGGAGGGCCGGGACACTGCCGGGGCTGGCTGGGCAGTGTGACGTGGGCTCGTGGGAGCTGTGGAGCCACGTCGCCGTCACGGACCGCGGTTCGCGCCCCTTGTCGCCCACTCGGGCTGCGGTCTGAGTCCGCGGCCATTGCGGGTAGTGTCCGGCGCCTGCAGCCGTCTGCTTGCCCGTCAGCTGCGGCAGCCGCTCGGGTCGCTGCCAGGGTCCGGCCGTTATTAGTGTGATCTTTCACCTACAAGCACTCTGTGGCCCCATTTTTATTTTTCTTGGGATTGCTAGATCCTGGAGCTAAGGATCCAGGAGGTTTCCATGAAAGCAAACTGGTCTCCAAAGTCTGCTGCAATTGCACCAACCGTATGAAACTCGGTGGCTCCGTGCCCTGGGCGGTACCTGGCAGCCGCAGGGGATCCCCGCTTCTTTCTGCCGATGTCTGCGCCTGCAGGGGTATTTTAAGTGTGCACCCCCTTGACGAGGCCAGTGGGGGCTCCAGGTAACCATCTTCTGGAACTATCATTACCTCTGCAGTCAGCGGTGGTGAGCTGCGGGACGTCCGAATGCACAGAACGACGGCCTTCCCTTAGACGCCGGTCCTGGCAGCAGAAGGCAGGGCCAGAGACCTCTTGCTGACCGCTTGCCGTCACCGCCTGCCTTCCTCAGCACCACGCCGGGGCTGGGGGGAGGCAGGCGTGTCTGCAGGGGAGCCATGGTGCTGGGGAGGCTGACCTCGCTCTCCCTGCACGGGCTCGGCCGGAGGCCGGGCAGCTGCTGTCCCACTGGGTGTCACACCTCAGTCAGACGGTGCGCTTCCGGGGCGCCGGGCGCTTCCCCGACGGGCTTCCGGGGTGCTGCGGTCTGAGACACGGGGTCTGCAATAGCTGCGCTCTTAGCCAGGCGGTACGTCCACAGCGTAGAGACCCGGGGCTCCCTAGCTTCTTCAGGGGAGCCCGCGCTTCTCGCCGGGCTGGGGGAGGTTCTGGGTGCATTATCCTGCAGGATTTTAGTTTCGTAAAAACCAGATCCTATCACCGCACCGTAGCTTTCGCCTCCGCTTCGGACCCATCAAGTCCCATTATTTCTTGTGACCCGAGGTTATGGGAACGGAGCCCCGAGGAAACGGCGCAGGGTGTAGCATTGCAAGTCTGACTCGGTTTAATGCAGCGCTGAAAGCAAGAACCCTCTGGAACAATGCCTCCGCGGGCTTTCACAGGCCAGTTTAGATAGCACCCCGATTGTGCGCTCCCCTAGTCTTCTAACCTAGACTCACGTGGTCAGACGCTACCGGGGGGCCACCTCCTGGGGGGGCCTGCCTCGTCGCTGCCGCGGCGTGCAGGCGGCTCCCAGCAAGCCGCATGCCCGCCGCCAGCCTCGTCCCTGTCCTGGCGAGTCTCTGGGTGGAGAAATGAGCTGCTGTCGCTGAACAGGACCTGCCCGCTCGGGGACGGCGCCACGCGCACAGCCGGCCGGGTCGAGGCTCACAGCCTGGGCCGCGGGGGTGACGACAGGCGGGGGCGCAGGCCGAGAAAGCCTATGAATTTTCCATCAGGCTCTGAACAACCCCTTGACCTGCCAGCACTTACCAGCAGCTGTTCCCGACCCAAAGCACCAAGGACAAGCAAGCCGGTACCTGGCAGGGGAGGGTGGGGGACAGCGGGCCGCCCGCCCACGCACTCCCCACGTCCAGCTCCCGGCAGCCCGACCCCAAGGCGACCTGCTGGAGACATGTCTGAGGAGGCCCAGCCGGGAGGGCCCCGGCGAGCCCAGCCCCAGGGAGTTCAGCCCCGCACAGCTCCGCGGGCTCGGCCTTGACACCAGCATGGCCCGGACACAGGCCAGAGAGGCCGGAGCCGGCCAGAGACGGTCCTGGAGCCCGCCCGCGGCTGCATGCCCTCGACTGGCGGGCGCACGGCCCTCTCGCCCCGGAGC